CAGAGCTGGAGAGCAGTGCACGAGTTTGTATCAGGAGAGTGAGGGAAGCAATAAGAAGGTGGGTGAACTCTTGTGTGCACAATGTTGCTGTTCTCAAGCCATTCTCTGAGGCAGGGTGACAACTGAGGCCAAAGTTCAGCTTTGCTAAATAATTGTACAACATCGTTCACGTGTGGTTGTGAAACCCGGCCCTATGAATGAAGCACAGCAGTCAAAGATCTCTGCTGCTGAAATGAAACATCTGATTTTCATCCAGCATTGCTGGGGTGTATGTGCCTGGCTAAGAACATGCGCTGCATGTGTGCGCTGGAAAATTGTGTAGCTGCAAAAATCGTTGAGAATTGAAATGGCTTGGTTATGTGCAGAGGATGAGTGGAGAAAGATTGACAAAGGGTGTGCATGTATCAGAGGAAGGAGGCAACTGAATGCATTGAAGATCCCCTAAAATAGGATCAGACCAAGCTGCCAAGCAGTTCTGAATGTTTGGTGCTTCAGTAATGAGAAGCCCATGAACCTTCAAACAAACTAGTTTGACATACATGCAGAACACTGTTCTAGGGTATCTCTATATACATTAACACTCTATAGTTTTAAAAGTGTACTGTAGTGAATAATCTTTAAATGACAAAATTGTATTCTAAACACTAACAGATTTTGTCCCCAAAATCAAAGTCCTTGATTTGTTGGTGATTAAATCCACCTGGCAATGAATTGTAATGGTCAATATTTGCCTCTCTAAACAATGTGATACATAAAATAATAAATCAGAATCATGTGTATTTTAATTGGAAGAACTGCATTTCATTGCAAAAAAAGCATACATTGAGAAATTAATTCACACTTCCATATAACAAACAGACTAATGATTCAAAGGAATACTCGGTCAATACATACAAAGCCAAACCAGATCCATGAGCTCAACCAGGATATAGTCCAAAATCCCAAGAACCAGGAGATCCAGCCTTCACAGATTCAGGAACTTGGGATACGTATTTCCAGGACCAAGGAAGGAATCCAGGCATACAGGAACAGGAAATGAAGCTTGGTGCAAGGTTCACAAGAGTGATTACTGGTAGTCCAAAGGCTCAGGGACTGGAATGCCTGGGGTCAGCCTTGTCCCAAGGGATGAGTCTGACAGTGCAGGGCCCAGAGCACAGGGAACACTAGGCCTAAATAGACAGTGAGAGCCATGCACACCCAGATAGGCTAAAGGTGTCACCCTGAATTCCAACGAATAAGATACTTTAGGATATGGAATGGGCAACAGAGCGCCCTCTAGGGGCCGGATGCCAATCATGACACTTTTTTTAAAGTAAACCCATTTTTATCCCCAAACATAGCAAAAAGAAACATCTGGTGAACAACAAGCTCATTTCCTTTACGATGCCTGTTCATAAAGAACTTGATGTAAAGCAAAAACATTAAAAAAGTTACAGAAGGAAAAATGGTGGTAACCAAAATTATTTGACCACTTTCAAGTTGTTAAACTCTTTATTAAGTATCTCAAATATGCAGCCTTTCTGGTATGTGAGCTAGGTTTTGGGGATTACCTTAAATTCATAATTTCTTATTTTATCAATCCAGGTCTAGAATCTGTTGTTTTCATAATTTATTATTTACGTGGTGCTTGTATAAAATATGGTTCTCCGGGAAAATAATTTTTACATTTACAAGAAAGAATTGTTTTCCACTGAATAATTTTAATAAGTTGTTACCAGGCCATTTTAAGAAAGGGCTGCTTTTACAGCTGACCTGCCACTAGAATGCTAGAATGCTATTGCTATTGCTAATGCTATTAAATAGCCACACTGGGGGTGAGTTACTGAATTATTGGATAATTGATGAAAGGTTGAGGATTTAATTTGTACCTTTGTGTTGGGTATTTTGTGGGTATATAAAGGATGTGCATGCTGCTAGTGGAGGTTCCTGAGTTGTAACCTGAAAACATTGTCCTGAACTTCACATATTTGTGGCCATTGTGGGTGGTTATGGGAGCAGACCCTTGAAACCACCCTTGTTGAAGATACTGTCTGTCAGAAAGGTGACAAAATCTGCAAGAACTCTGCTGTGGAAAAATACATAATTACTCCAGATTTATTTATTTTCCTCATCTTATTTTTTAAAGCATAATAGATTAGTTTTGGTGACAAATGGCAATGTTGTTACAGCACCTAAGTCCTTTCCACAATCCTGAGAAGCTTTGGGGAAGAGAAGGAATTCATAAGGGCAATAGGACCAGCTTTCTGATATGGGTAGGGAGGCATGGCATCAGGAGGGAGTGATAGTGCCTCCCACCATAGACTGGACCTAAGCCCCAGACACTTGGGCATGATATGAATGGTGCAGTGATACCTCTCGGCACTATGTGGATAGCCCCAAAATGGACCAAGATTGGTATGACAGCTATGAGGGTTCTGTTCATGACTGGCACCGCTGCACCAATCTGCACGCTGCACCCTGCAATGCATGCTGTCCTGTTCAGGGAAGTACCTGGAACAGGACCAGAGTACAGCATGGCCTTCTCTGGAATGACCAAGGTCGACCTGATGGTTCCCTACTTAGGAACGAGGAAGAAGAAGCATTGATAGGGTCAGTCATGCCAGCACACGTGAAGGAAGCATGGGAGGAGTGCAACCCAACCCCAGTGGGCCCTCAGATCATGGAAGATGGGTCCAGTTTAAGGTGAGTATTGCTGGAGGAAAGATTCAGAGTAAAAGCCTACTTCTGAAGCTGAGCTGAAGGATCTATTGAGCATCCATGACCAGGGGCTCATGACTAAGAGGTAAGGTAAGAGAGGTAAGATCACTTTATTGGCCATATAAAGTTTCTTGTATTAGTAATTTGTCTTTTTGCATATCCCAACTTGCTCTCCATGAGACACAGACAGGGAGAGAAGCACAGGGTCTGCCATTCATACGGCGCCCCTGCAGCAGTTAGGGTGACAGAGCCATGCAGACAACCTCTGAGAGAGAACTTGAAGCAAAACAGTCCTTTTGGAAAAGAGTGGGTACTGATATCTTTCTGGGGAACTTACAGCAGAGGGAGCTCACAGCAGAGGGGGTTTCACCCAAGAAGATACTTGCTGGAACTGTTCCTCTCCCCTCTGCTCTGTGTTACATCAATAGGGATGATGCTTTCCCTATTGCTAAGAGCTATAGTGGGAGAAGCTGTGTTAGGCCTGCATCAGAAGGCTCTGCAATTATATAAACCTGCCACTAGAGACCACTATATAAACTCTAATTGTTGTAAATAGCCACACTGAGTGTTAGTTATAAATATATTGGTGACAGGTCTGGAAAAATACATTGTCACATGGGTATAATTAGGCTTTTGTGTTATGTAAGGGTATATAAAGGATGTGAACTCTTATGGAGGTAATTTGGGATTTTTGAGTGCTTTTCTTCAGTACTGGAAAGGGTCTTTAATAACAACTGCTAGTAATTGACTGTTGAGAGCTTTTAGCTACCCAAGCTCAGGATAGGCCTTGTCACATACTGTATATGTAGGATTGTACAAGCCCAGAAAAGACATTAGACAGGGCACTGGGGTAACACTCAAACCCTTCATGACAGAGCTGTGGGATCTGAAATGACAAAAGTAGTCAAAACTTCATTTAATGTTTCATCCTTCATCACAATGCCACCATACAAGGACATTGGACTGGAAATTCCCATTAGAGAACCTAATGATCTAATTTCTGTACTTGCCTCTAGCTAGATTTTAAAAAGATGGAGCAGGACTGCTTGTCAGTAGTGCAGCTGGCACAGGCAGGCGACACCCCGTCTCACCCAGTGACTGGGTGGCTCCTGGGATGGCAGGGACAGGGTCAGCACCAGGTTACTGCACCGGCCCGGGTAGGACTGACCACCACGCTCGGCGGTCTGATACACTGCACAGAGAAGAAGAGAGTGATGGAGGGGGTGAAGAGGATTGGGAAAGGGAGAAAGAAGAGGGAGGGAAAGGAATGAGACCATCATGTTAGTATCAAGATTGCAAAACGCCAGCTTCATGTAGAATATATCACCACAAGTCAGCGACTGATACAAGCAGGTATAGTTTAAGACTGAGACCTACTTATTTTTCCAGTACAAGACAAAAAGAGGAGCAAGGGAAAAGAAGACACACAGTTTATGTCCTAAAAGAAGAAGAGGAAGGGAGAAAGAGGAGAGAGAGCAGTAACAGAAAAGAGGGAGAAGAAATAGCAGGAGAATTTATGTCCTGCTGAAGCCCTTGAGTGTGTGTAATACTATCTCACATCACTTTTTCTGGGTAGAGCACTGGTCTCCAGCACTTGTCCCTGAGGCTGTAAGCCTTCATCTTACATATCACCTGTTTTTATAGATTGGCAACAACTCCAAGCTACTGATGAATTAAGCAAGAATACTGTGCAATCAGGAAAACTCTGGCCCTTTAGGGCTCAAAGGTACTCCGAATTTGGTCTCCAATTAAAATATATAAATTGACATGTCACCTACATTAGAATGAGTTTGAATAGTTCCATGTCTTCAGAATGTGGTTCAGAATGTACAAGAGTTGATGATTCCTGACTTAGGGAATGGGGAAGATTTCAGTGGGTGTGTGGGCAGGGCTAAGGAAGACTCAGTGGCAGTGTGGAGTGGGAGAGTGAAGGCTGCACGTTGTACCTGGGCAGATGTACACCTGGTCAGTTTCGGTCAGGCTGGACCTTTCACGGGGCCGCAGCCATATCTGAAGCACGGGGTTAAAGAAGACAGCAGAATAGGTGCCGTTTATTAAATATTTGTGTATTTGCCTTGCCCTACTGCTTTGATACAGTTCAAACTGAGAAACAAGGAAAAGGTCAGTTCCCGGTTTGGCTCTGTGGTGTGACTTCTTGCAAGGTAGGCTTCTTGACACAGTCAGGCAACAGAAGAACTGTGGTGGCAGCTCTGGTCATAAAGTTACAGATCTATCCATCCCTGCATTTTCTTTATCCAATTCTGGAGCCTATCCCAGCAAGCAACAGTTGCAAGGCAGGGTACACCCTGGATGGAACACCAGTCCATGACAGGGCAGACAAATACAGACACGTACACACTCACACCAGGGCCAGTTTTCCCAGAAGGTAATTAACCTACCAGCATGTCTTTTGACCATGGGAGGAAGGCAGAACACCTGAAGACAACCCATGTGAATACTGCAAGATTATGGAAACTCCAGGCTGATAACACTCCACGAATTATACTGTAGGTATGTATATACAGTATCTCAGCTCAGGACCTCTCCCACTGTTCTCTACATTTCATTAACTTACATAGTTACCACTAGCCAGGTCTGGTGTCCAGCCTTTCTCTGAAAGGATACAACAGGCAGGCAATCGTACAGGATTTTTGGTAGGGACTCTCCTATTGCTCCCCTCTCCCGATCCCAGCGAGCTCCCTCCATGTACAGCCCATAGATATGTACACCATAGTTCTGGGAAAGAGAAATATATACAGTATATGGAAAGAGATTGTGACAGTACATACAGATCTATTGGGAGTATATATGTATACACAAAGAGAACCTTTTATTCATAGATATTTTTGTATCCTATGAGAAAAGTATGGAATTAAGAAGGCAGTATGGAGTTAGTTGGAGGTCAACATAGTAATGGATAATATTCATGTGCAAGAGAACATAACCCACTTTAGATTTTCAAAACAAGCCTCAAATTTCTGCAACAAATTCTCAAAGTTATCAGTAACGATTAAATGAAGGCTGTCATCTAGAAAAGAGAGTAAAATTTATGAGGAGAAAACAAAGCGAAATACTTTAGTGCTATCAGTTCTGTCATAACATGAGCTGTTCATGTAAACAAGTTGTAGCTCTGCGAAACAGTATGTGAGTATTCATTCCTACCTGATCAGAGAGGTTGGTGGAATCACTCTCAGGATCAGTCACAGTTTCTTCCTGAATCCTTGGGCACCTGTTGGGGTCACTGTCTCCTTCACTTTCTTTGTTAGGGACAGTATCTCCCTGGCTCTCAGTGTCTGTCTCTGTGCTTGCCACTGACTCTCTCTCTCGACATGTCACTGCCACGCTGAAGCTCAGCTGGTCTACCGGCAGGTGGTGGCGGCGTGCATGGTTCTGTAGAGCCCCTGTCAGGAAAGCCTGAGGAAAATAGAACCCAGAGATCCAGAACTCCGAGGGAAGACCTCTGTCCACCCAGCTCTGGAAAACAAAAACACACACACAGGACACTGCACATAACTTTACTGTCATCACAGGGCACTGCACATAACTTTACTGTTAACACACCTGAGTGTAATCACAGGGCACTGCACAACTGTACTGTTAACACACCTGACTATAATCAC